TTGTGCATGACCGAAAGAACATACAATTTGAATTATAAATGTTATAAAGCCCTAATTTGATCGTTTCTCATTTTGGTTTCGATTCGTTTATTTGCCGCTATTTCGTCGTTCGGCCTGTCTCCACTTTCACAACATTTTCAACGTAGCCATTTCATTTCGGGCCACTTTTTCCCATTTCTTTTGTTCCTCTCTCTCTTTCCCGCTGTGCGCTCTCCCTTTCGCTCTCGTTCGTGTGCTCAAGCGCGCCTGTGTCTGTCTGTGTATGTGTGTAGGATTTTGTAAAGAGCAAATAATGAATTTTCGCTTCGTTTACATTATTAAACATTAACTATTTATTTACATACGTAAAGTCCTTCTAATTTGGTGTGCGCTGTGTGTGTGTTATACTGTTTGGCAAAACTGGTGTTGTATGTTCACTGCCTATTTACCATTGATATCAAAAGGGTGGTGTCGCGGGTATATATGTCGCTATAGCGTTTTTGAAATGGTATTAGAGAATGGTTTTGAAAGAAGAACCAAATGAAAAAAAAAAAAACAACATAATAACAGCAACAGCAACAAAACACACCGTTCGAATTCAACGTTTATTTTCCAAATCTATTGCTTTTGGAAAAACACACATGGCAAAACAGAAACCGATATCTCTATAAAACGACACGGTATGTGTCTGCCTGCACACAACCCTATCCGTGTGCGCATACATACACACGGCATCGGTGGGCGATAGACATGGTTCAGTAGAGGCCACCAAAGACTGCAATTATTACAAACGATTTATTGTTTGTATTTTATATACACATACTGTGAATGTTTTCGGATGGTATCATTGCGTCTGCCAAGTGGCGATAATGATTATTGCCATAAAATAAATTCTATTAAATTGCATGCATATCAGTTCGTAAATAGTATAGTCTAGTTTTTGGACATTGTAGCGGAGGCGCGCGCGCTTGTGTGCGTGTGTGTGTGGTTCCAAATTTTGTGTTAACTGCCTCAAGTACAGCCAATCCGCCGATATAAATGTTCAACGAGTCATAGAGATCACAACGGCACAACTCATATATGTATGTATGAATGAGTCCGACGGGAAAAATTCAACGCCACATTTACATAATTGAAATTTTTGAAGCGAACCCACTTTTTTGGGGTATTATTTGTTTGTGTGCCACATTTATAGATGAAAAGGCAAACACTCGAACTTAGTTTTGTCTCTTTAATTTTCCCTCGCATTTTCAACAATTGCATCCGAAATGCGACATGCATGTGTTGATTTGAAACTGGTCGAACACACAAACACACATCCAAAACCGAAAAAAATGAGCGCCCTAATTGAAACTGTAACTAATATGTACTGTTAAATTTCTGATAAACTGAAATGCTCGTAAAATGTCGACTTCGATTCGACTCGCCGTTGATGTCGCATGAATAAAATATTGGCTGTGTGACACTGACAATTATTTACAAAGTGATTTTTAAATTAATCAGTCAAATCGTTTTAATTAGAGGGACCCATCGAGGGAGACAGCTTGTTAGGTCGCGCGCGCTCTTTCAAGAAACACACGAAAATTTCGTTTGAGAAGTAAAAGCAGTAAAACGAGCCAAACGAGTGAATGGCCACTTATTAGATGTCTGGGCAAAAGAAAATGTGTGTTTTTTGAAAATTATTTATGTCGTTGTTAATTTTCAAGAGGAATGCCTTTCATTCAGGGTGATTAAAGTTTGGTTTGTTTGCTCCCACTTTGCATTTTCCCTGAATAGAGAAAATATACAAGAAGGCAGACCGAATGCTTTCGATATATGTATGTTTTATTGGGAATGCGACATTTAATTTCCGATTAATTAGAGTGGATTTTTACGAAGAAAAAAACAAACACAATTTTTTTTCTCCGCGTTGACTGACGAGAACAGCGGCAAACCATGCATAAATTTCTCAATGTTTTAATATGTAATATTGTGCTTATGTGATTAGTCCAACAATAATTGACAAGTTTTTATTCAGTTCACACATCCTAAAGTGATCGAAACAAATAAGACAAGGCAGTAGCGCATGACGACATGTGGCAACTTACCAATCTTAGACGTCATACATTATTCGAAACGATGTGTTGAAATAATTTTCCCAATTAATTGATTTTTTTAAAAAATCATTATCGCCTTCGAAATTTGTCGTAAAATTGGTCGCTTCGAATTTTTCGGGATTTTTAATGCGACAGAAGTGACAGATAACTAGAATGGCTGCGGTTTTACCATAATTTCATAATTTCCAGTTAATCACATACGATGATATCGAGGAAATGTGAAAAACAAACGACGAAAATACTAATTACAAGCTGTTAATGCATAGCAATGGCCAATTTCACAGCACGGCCAATTAAAAATGTATTAAAATAAAAGCGCGTCAATTCCACAGAAATCAAACCGACGGAAAATTAAGTAGAATTTTTCAGTGCTATAAATATGTCACCGTATACACATACACACCGTTTGAGTGTGCGGAACATTTTCAAAGCCAATACCAAGAATTGAATGCAATTAACCGTTTTATGTTTCTCGATTTTGTTTTCTTTGCAATACTTTGTGTGAGTGAGTGAGAGTATTTCGACAGAAAAGAAAACCAAAGGGTTTTCACTCAATTTATTCCCACAGCAACGCTGTTGCGAATCACAAACGTAGTTGCACGATGAAAGAAAGAGGGAGAGAGAGAGGCAGAAGTACAAAATGAAAAGCAAAAGAGTTTGCATCGAAAAGTTAGTGAACAAATGATCAAACGACAACACGAACATTCGAACCTCGGCCGAAGTTTCTGATTATCCCACAGATGGTTTTTCATTCATAATAACAGTCATCATGTCTCTTGTGCTCGATAGACTCACACACACACACACACTTAACAATAAGAACACCAACCAATATATGAAATTGACAAACTGAACAAACAATGTGCGACACGGCAACTCACCTCAAATTGAACGTAAAACCGCAAAATTGACGCACTTTAAATACTCCTGTTTATGCCATCAATAATATTATTAGCATATAAAATGAAACAACAAAAGAGTAGCAGTCGGATCGAAGTACCGACAGGCCCGACAACAACGACAACGATGATGATGATGACGACGACCCACCATGGCATACCGACAAAACCGTTATTTATTGTGTCTTTGACATTTGTAATCACAATAATTATCATCATCATTCTCATCATTCGATGGCATCATCAATAACATCAATAACAATACAACCATTACATATATGGCACAAGGACCTCGAAACGTTATACATTGTATTCGTTTGGCTTGTTTGTTACTCACTCTCGTTGAATCCTTTACACACATATACATTTTATATATGAATTTTGCATTAAACAGGTGCGATTTACGTTGTAAAAACACAAAAAAAAACGGCAGCATTTTGGGGTGAAAACGAAAGAACAAGTTGAATTGGCAATTTAATATAAAGCGACATAAGCATGTTTGTACATTGTGATTTGATACCAGAAATGAAGAGTTGTAAAACGTCATGTTCGGTTGTCGGCAGTAAAAGTGTTGGAATTTCGACGGAATGAAGTAAGAAAATTGTGAACGGATCAGATTTAATGCTAGAAGTTCGTTTTCTATTTTCAAATGGCTTGTGATGCAAAATATCACCCAAAAAAGGCCGACACTCACACACACATGGAACCACAATAACATTCTTGTCCTTTTTAGAAAATCTAAATGGTCTAAACATTAGCCTCTAGCCACCTAATTATATCTATCCAATAATTACACTGGGAAAATGGCAGAGCACGCAACATTTTTGTACATTAACATTCAACATACGCATTCCCATTCATATAAGTGCCACTGTATGTTCATCTTCAAGAAGCAAAACCTTTCGTATCGTAAAGCTCGTGCGATCAGTGAGAGAAGTGCACATATTTCTAAAATATAATAAATGAAAAAATAAAATTGTCTACGCAACGCATATGCTACCATACACTTACCACATACACATTGGACACAATGAATGTATAATCGTTAAATAAAATATTCGCTCTGGATGAAACTGGACGGCGAATAAGCTTGTGTACCGAACGAACAAGAGACGAGAAGAGAAAAAAATATATATATGCAATTTAACAGCTTATAACATAACGTTCTTGGCACTGTCTTCTTGTTGGTTGTGTGTGTAACTGTGTATGCATGTTCTTGGTTGTTATTAATTCTTTGTTTCGGTTGCTGGTGTCAGTTTAACTGGTTTTCTGGAGTGTTATTATGAGTGCGAATGGAATTCAGCAACCTTTTTAGTCACATCATTGCAAAAACCCGCAACAAGCAAATGCTTCGTTTGCGGTCAATTTCTAGTTATTTTTCGGCCCTCTTCTTCAACATTGTGTGCATTCAGCTCATCCAAACGCGCTTCAATTTGTTGGGGTTGATTTTTCCATTCGTTTACCATACGAAATTAACTACCGATATAACAACGATGCCATTCTTCGTTGCCATTTTGAGTTTTAGTAGCAGCACCACCACCACCACCACCACCACTGGTACTACTGCTACCGCTGCTGCTGCTGCGCTACACAGCGTTTGCACAATAATTTCAAGAAATTAAGTTAGTTATTTATTGAATTTTATTATTCAATTTACTTACCGCAAAAACTATTAAAGCATTATTAATGTTTACGCATGCAATGCTTACGTTTTACGCAAAATAATAATTATGAAGGCGCAATCAAATGAGCACACATTTACAGAAGAACAAAAAAAATGAGAAATATACATACACGCAAATTGAAAATTTGTGGCCAAGTTTTTTGTTGTTGTCCAGCAAAAAAAAAATGAGCGGAACAAAACCAAAATCATGCAATGAGGCAATCTCAATCCTTGTTTTTGCTACGGCACACATATGTACTGGTTTTTTTTACTTTCAATCATATAAATGGCCTCAGGCCGTTGAAGATTTCCGGAAATCGACTTGCTAATTGAATTGCGCTTTTTTGTTTGTTATATTTACAGGACCCAGATACCGAAAACCGAAAACACCGAAAGTCAAAGGTGAAAGTGAGGAGAAACGCCCACGCACCGCATTCTCAATGGATCAACTAGCTCGCCTAAAGGTAAACATTTTTTTAAATTTGCAATTGAATTTACTTTTTTGCACACACATTGTGAATGGTAAACGAGTTTATTTTTCATTTCCACCAACAATTGTATCCACTTTTGATCTTTCGTTTCCATCAATAATGAATTACAATTTTGATGGTGCTCTAGATATTTTAAATTGAAGTCCAAAATTGATATTTCCGAAATTGAAAATTTGATTATATTTATTCTATTTTCAGCGTGAATTTAATGAGAATCGTTATTTGACCGAACGTCGACGTCAACAGCTTAGCTCTGAGTTGGGCTTAAATGAGGCACAAATCAAAATTTGGTTCCAAAATAAACGGGCCAAAATCAAGAAATCGTCCGGCCAAAAGAACCCACTGGCAATGCAACTTATGGCACAAGGACTGTATAATCACTCGACGGTACCATTGACAAAAGAAGAGGAAGAACTCGAAATGCGAATGAATGGCCAACTGTAAAACGTATTTAATTTGGTCAACAAAGTTAACAATGAATTTGGCTAAGGTGTTCACGCAAATTATCAGTGGTTTACTTTGGTTTGCAGCAAAGCAAAAACAAAAACTTTTGCTTTATCAACAAAAGTTTGGACATAATCAAAACTGGCGATTTGGATCTTTATTGAAACAATTTGATGGAAGAGATAGTCAGGAGAAACGATCGAATTCATTCGGCCGAAGAACGATCTTTAGAAAGGGCGATCAACCAGTTATTACTTCTGAATAAAAAAAAAAGAGTTTCATATCGAATAGCATGTGAATTGTGAATATATCGATGACTCCGTCTTGTAAATTAATTTCAACGATGTAACATTGGATTTAAAATATTCGTATGCTAAATTGAATATATTCATATGGAGTAAAAGATGTGGTTGTATTCTAAAGAATTGAATGTTGGTTGATGCCTCACATTTTGGATCGGTCTGTTTTTCTTCTCAAAACAAAAAATATATATATTGTGCAATTGAATTAGATTTATGCTTTACCATAAAAATATGAACGCTCACGCTATAAAAATTGAAGGAAAAAAAATTGTTTATTGATTTTGTACAGATTTCTCATGGCATCATTTGCAATGAGAGATGTGTTTGGCATTTAAGCGTCCCATCAATTCGTTCTGCTTCATAAGTAGAGAGTGTGAAGAAAATGAAAAAAAAATATATTTTATTCATTAGATTCCCATTAAAACGTTAAAAATTATTGATATTTGAACAAAATATAAATTTATTTATTAATTTAATATTGGATTCGATTCAGTTTGGCATATATCCAATAGAATGAATCTACTTGCAGTCAATGCTGCACTAAATTAAGGCTAAACGGTATGTATTTAAATTAGTGGTTAATTTGTTGGAACGATCGCGATCATTGAAATTTGCATTGATTTTAAGCGCGGCCAGTTTTTTTTTTCATCATTTTGTTCGTCTGATAAATGTCGCCAAAAGTACCAACGACTGTCAATGGCAGACACTGGCATGCGAAACAAAACAAACGAAACATTTGAAATTTTTAAAACAGTTGCAAAAATGGACTTCGTCAACCCATTCACTCTTCATACTTAGTGGTAATGCTATGACAGATGTCGGTTTCATAACTGCTGTGGTTTTCATACGATCATATGGTAAAGCGTATCAATTTTATAAAATTGATTTTTATTTTAACTAGGTACGAAATGAAAAAAAAGGAGACGTCGATAAAGAGGCGCGTGTTCGATTAGGAGAAGTGGTTTATAAAATGCAGAAGCATGTAAAGTGCAAACGAGAGCAAAATTGTTATAAAGTGAATTAAATCTAGGATAATATTGTGATAATAATAAAGAAAATTATGAATAAACAAGGAATGATGATGAAAATAGAGCAAAAAGACGTGACCCGATAAAGATGAAAATCAATATGAGCACCAACAATACTTGTCCAGTGACAAGGAAAAGAGAGCACTGTAAATAGGCACATGTTCGTTATCGACTAAGTTACAAAAATCCACAAATTTAAGGGCATATTCTTGTTATTTGTAAATTCACATCGATTATAATAAATATTAAAACAAACCGAATATTATTAAGCTCAATGCATCTACTTTTCCATTTCTCAAAAAGCATTAGGACAAATAAAATTCACATTTATCAACATTAATTGCATGATCGTTTTAAATTGTGTTTTTCGTCCATTTTGGAAAATGTATTCACACACACACACACAAATCGGCCCATCACCAATATTTATATTCCCCATTTTATTGATGCATAAAATACAAATGATATTATAATGTCATTTATTTGTAATGGAATGCAAATTGTGTGGAAATTTTCGCCAAAAATGTGTGTGTGTATGTTTGTGTGCTTGAAAATGTTTTTCGGGTGCGAGCGCAACTGTTTGAATCATTCCAAAAAACCGCATACTGGCATTTATAAGACCGAATATAAATATATTATTTTGGGTAAGAAACGATGAAACGGTTGTCGATTTAACCATCCAACACACACACACACACACACACTATGGTCTCGTTGATGTAACGGACCAAAGCGTGTAAAGCATATATTTCATTGTTTTATTCATGCAAGCCTAAACGAGCTGAACGAAATAAAAAAAAGAGGAAACATCCGTCTTCCGTTGAAACGAATGAGAGATAGATAGAGAGAGACATGCTATTTTTGCCGTTGGCGATTCAATACAGTTTTGCTTACGTCCAAACAAACACAATTACGATCATATAATACCTATTAGCTGTAAATTGTATAGTTAGGCTTAGAAATTTACCATAAGATTCAATTTAACTGAAAGAGAATCAAAATAAATGTAAAACTACAAACGAAAACTTATTGAAAAAAGAATCGCATTTTCATTTTCCAGTTTTTCTCTGCTACCTTATGCTATGTATTTATCCAATATGGTGAAAATTGTCGCCGCTTTACAACTAATCGAGATGAATGAAACAGAAAGAGAGTAGCGTGAAACCAGATTTCTTTTCAATTATACAGAAATATCTCAAATCACCGTAATTAATGTCAATAAACACTTTTCTCATCTTCTTTGTTGTCGCTGTCAACCGACATGAATTATTGGTTTTTATATCGTTCTTGTATAATTTTGGGTGCAACGAGTGTGTTCTACTGCTGCTACTGCTGATACCTATGTCCATCTTCGTTTACACACACATAAGAACACTGTGCAAACAAATGAACATTGTGAAACACCGACAAAAGAATAAAGCCAAGTGGCATGTCTTAGAGTCAACGAAAATGGTGCGTCGACTGGCAAATCATACACGAAAACCCATACACCGGCAAACGGTGACAAGTAAGTAGTGCAAAGAGGAAAATCAAATGAACGAAATAAAAGCAAAATCTCCGGCGACAAATCATCAAGCAACACACACACACACACACACACACACTCATGTCATTAAATTTTCGAATTAAAATTATACCTAAATATTAAATTTACGCATCATTTTTTGCAACTAAGTGGCGAATTGATGTTTGCTCGGTGTAAATTGACTGAAATGCATTCATGCACAAAGCTGATGACTGAACAATTTACTGCTGCTGATTTTGCTGTAACAAAATGACGAACAAACAACCGCACAAAGCACTTTGTTTGACTATATGTTTTCGACTCATGCGAAAATTAATTTACATCAATTATAGATGCGTGGAAAAAATAATAATAACAAAGCAAAAAAAAAAAATGAAACAACAAAGGCAATAAGAGAGTATCAAGCGCACGCTCGGTTTGCGCGAACTCGCACGCATTTAAAGCAAAGCCAGAAAATCCCAAAACGCGCAAACATGAAAGCAAAACCACGAAAAATAATTATTATAAATGATAATAGTAGGAAAAACAAAATGCGACTAATAGCAGCAACACACTCGCGCCAACTCATACATTAAACAGTCAAACAATCTCTTTAAATTTTATACGTTTTTAATTACGTACACATATAATTAATTATCACTAATTATCTTCCTATGCTCCCTCCTGCTCACTGTGTATGCTTATGTCGCTCTCTCTTTTACAAGCACTTTTTTCCACATTGGCGCTGGCTGGTTGGTTGGTTGGCTCACTAGCCCCCGTATCGCGTACAATCGGACGTGCATATGTATTATTTGTAATAATTGTGTAGAATCTATTTTAACAAAATGTATATCAAACGATGACGACCGACAACGACGAAGACGACTGCGATAGTACATTGTCCGCACACACGTTATTTTTATATTTTATCTATATATATTGCAATGTTGTTTACGTGATTTTCGCATGTTGCATTTTTATGAATAAGTTTCAGCAGCTCTGAGCATGGATAACTGTCAGCTGTATGTTGTGTAAGGCAAAATGAAACAAACATCGTATCCGATTTGACGTTCAATTAATTTATTATATTCAGATTAAAAGTGCGCAAATTAGATAACAAAAAAGAACATATAGAAATTTAAATGAGTTTAAGTACATGACCAATGAGGTAATTTGTTCCGTTAATTGCTGGACAATTTGATGGTATTGTTTTTTTTTTCAATATAGTTTTTGTTGTTGTTGTTGGTACCCAAAAGATTACGGAAAACGTGCATTCGTCACAGGACGTGTTGGTTCTCTATTTCAGAAAGGTGCACAAGATCGGTTGTTGCTGAAGATAAATGAATTACCACGAAGTGAATTGACACTAAAGAAGAATAATTAAACATTCGGACGCATATTTGAGAGAAGAATCGAATAAAAATGCATTCATTTTCCCTTCGGACCAAAATCGAACCATATTTTGCAGATTATTTTTCATTTTGCTCTAGTTTCTTTTTCGCTCCATTTTCTCTTTCTGTCTCTGCCACACATACACACACTTTATCACTCACAAAAAAGTAAGCGAAAAAAAAATGAATGGAAATAGTTCGGTTCAAAAGGAATCTCTCTGTCTGTGTAGCAGAGAGCCAGCCAGCAATTAGAATTAAATACACTATTGTTTCCTCTTGATTTGCCGAGCTGGCACACACGAGTCACAGACTCAATGTGCTCGCTCGCACTATTCCTTCGCTCTCGTCCACGCTTTTCAATTGTAAACCGTTTAAACACAGTTAATGTGCACATAAATCAATGCCAGGCTTAAGAGAGAATATAAACACTGGCACTCTAACGAAATAAGCACACACATTACAACTCGTTGCAATCATATACGCATGATGATGCGCTTGCCCTTTCTCTCTCTCTCTCGCTCGCTCGCTCGCTCACCAAACACGGAATTTTTTCTCATCGTACAATACGGACTGTAACTGGATGCCTGTGAATTTCACATAGAGCTACAAACAACGAGACAAAGAAGAAGCAAAAAATTAAAATAAACATTAAATAATGTAAATCGAGCTGTAAATTTCTACACAAATACGTACATAGATAACATTTGTTATGTTTGGATGTGACTTGACAGTCAACCGTCTAATGCTGCTAGCCGAATAACTTACTCATTAATACATTTGAACGAATTATTTTTGCATTGCACATCATTCGAAGATCAAACGATTCTCTTCGCTGTTACCACGAAACATTAAAAATAATAATAACGAAAAACACGAAACAAGACACAACATCCAATGGGGCTCTTCATCATTTTCTGAGAAAGTTTCTTTACATTTTGCCACCTTTTTTTGTTCGCCAAAGACAGAATGTGTGATACCCAATCTATTTGCACGTTGTATTTAATATGTGACACTATTCTACAGGAACTGGAGTACACAAAGAAGTCTTGTAGTTTGTTATAATCAAAGCACAACGAAAATAGCTAGAGAACACATATTGAGGGCCTTAATTAGGAAGCAAGGAAGAGATACCATTATATGCCTTCAATTCTTAAATGAAAGATTTAAAAATCGTTGTTCGGTACAGTTAATCAAAATGATTGCATACTTTAGCATTTTTGAAAGAACATACCTCCTATTTACTTCAAAGGAGATGAATGGTAGAATCTCTGATGATTTGTATCCTTTATACGCTCCTAAAAGAACTTTTGTACTCTATTGTGCATATCTTGTAGTACATGGAAGCGAGTAAGTTTTCAAGCATGCGTCAGCAAGTTTTAGATTCAAATCGAGCAGCAGTAAAAAATTTCGTCGAAAATATTGAATTTCAGCTAATTAATGAGATTTTTTTTTGAAATTTTACTAAGTAAAATTTTTCTGCATATTGAGCAATGCGGCAGCCAAAGATCTTGCGTAAAGAATGTAACGATGGCAAAATTATGGGTCATCGTTTACACCACGCCACACTCCAGAAACAAATCCATGAGCGTTTTACAAAAAAAAAATCCATAAAAATGTATACAAATTAATTTATGAGCAATATTTGTTCACCTCAGAAAAATTAAATTTTAACTCGAATGACAAATGATGATGCATGCGTTAAAATTTTCAATGAATTAAACCGGCAATGATACAATCTTACGAATGGATTTAAAGAAATACTCTCGACTCGATAAAAGTAGTTAATGTTCAAAATGCAAATACCAAAGTAAAAGCCTAATGATAATAATCATCGAAAATGGTTGACTTTCCGGATGCTAATTGAAAATACAACGAAAGATAAGAGCGAGGAAGAAGAAATTGATTCATTAAAACGTGTTGGAACGTTTCAATAGAGTAAACGGATGAAATACAGTAGCACGTGCTTATGAGCTCATTAACAATCTGTCTCTAATTCGACCACCAATTTTGATATTTTCCATCGCCATAAAAGAAACGGCACACACATTTTGTACACATATTTCCTCTACTTCATGATGAAAACATGTAAATAGAACAAAAATTCAATTCAGTCCATTCACTTGTATGAATACCCCACAACGCGAGCCCAGCAACTACTAACATATTCAAATGATACCACTTTTCTCGTTCGTTTAATTTTTCGTCTTGAGGTTTTCTTATAGATTTTGACTATCGCTTGACAAATTCAAAACGAAGCAACACAAAATGCGATCGCGCATTGCATTAGCTCACATATGTATATTTA